CTAGAAAACATGACCTATTACTGAGGAAGACTGAAAGATCTGGGTTTGTTTAGTTTGGAAAGGAGAAGACTGAGAGGGGACATGATAGCAGCTTTCAAGTACCTAAAAGGGTGTTACAAGGAGGAGAGAGAAAAGTTTTTCTCCTTAATGTCTGATGATATCCTCTGAGGATAGGACAAGGAGCAATGGGCTTAAATTACAAGGGAGGTTTAGGTTGGACATTAGGAAAAACTTCCTACCTGTCAGGGTGGTGAAACACTGGAATAAATTGCCTAGGGAGGTTGTGGAATCTCCATCCCTGGAGATATTCAAGAGCAGGTTGGACAGACACCTGTCAGGGATGATCTAGATGGTGCTTGGTCCTGCCGTGAGGGCAGGAGTCTGGACTTGATGCCTCCCTTCCAGTTCTAGTGTTCTGTGAGTCTATGAAATACACAGCACCTGTATCTGTGGAAGTTCTATTTCTCCATTTGCAACCGCAGCCCTTACTGGGACCCTGCCGATCTGTTTGCCTCAATGTCTCGGTCCTGGGAGTTCCACAGCTGACAGCACAGAACTGTCTCTGCCCCTCGCAATGGAAGCCAGGAACAACCAGACGATGACTGTTTCACAATCTCTTCTGTCCCAGAATGTTTCCTCCCTGAGCACCCTTCCCTGTTTGTGCACGGAGGGGTCTGGCAGGCACTGATCCTTGGAGGACAGTGGAAGCGCCTCTCCTGCAGTCACAAAGCCCAGGGCGAGGCACGTCACAGCTGGGGACAAAGGGTCCTGGGGGAGGGGCTCTGGCTGTGGAATGAACTTCCAAAGGAGAGGGAACCGATCCAGAGGCTGAACCCTGATGGGCAACTCTACCGAACCAGAGCCCGATCCCTGATGGGCAACGCTACCAGGCCTCCGGCGGCAGGAAAGATTTTCCAGCATTGCAAGAAGCCATTCACAGCTCTGAGGCCCTGTGAACACAGCCCCGTCCTAGCGTCCCAAGCAGTTTGTGCTCCAACCGTGGAAAGGCACCATGGACTCCCAGCTTGACACTTGCTATGGCTCAGCCATGACGGGGAACAGCAGCAGGAACCCCAAGACAGAGCGATATTTTTGCTTTTCAGGGGAGAGCGCGTATGGACGTTGCAATTCATTATTCAACCAATACTTGTTCCTTTTTCACCTGCTTTGTGGAGCTGGGTGAATGCTGAGCAAACATCCCCCACCCCTCACGTACTTCACAGACATCTCTGCTATACGCTACCAAATTTTATGTACCCATCCTGGCTGGTGGAGGATCGTGGATGTTGGAGGGTGCCTTCTCTTTCTCATTCTCTTGCTGATCAAGGAACAGCCGGGCTTTGAGGGGGACATGCCGTACAACACCGAAGACGCCCGCCCCAAACATTGCTGCAAAGGAGAGCAAGGCACCAGGGACCGTGTGGAACTTGGAATGGGGGCGAGCACTGTGGGGGGCGGTTTGTGAGCTGTGAAACTACGGCTGTGCTCAGGGCCTCGGGCAAGCGAGCCTCCTACGTACATACAATTGTGCCACTTCACATAGCTGAGGTAAAGTCCATCAGAAAACCAGAGAGGAAAGCAAAGGCAATAAAGAGCAGATAAAGGCTCTATTGAGCTAGTGCAAACACCGTTTTTCTACTGTACCTGTCATGCTCAAGGGCTAGTTGAAGGCTTCTCGCTGCACGGAGCGGATGCCGAGGAGTGGGGGGCGGGGGTGTGGGGGGGGGGCGGGGCGTGCTCTGTGGTGGTTCACACGCAGCTGGCACTGACTTCTTCGGGAGCTCCCATCCCCGCTCCGACCTCTGCCGTGTACACAGCCACCTACTCACCAAGCCCCAGTTCAGACACAGCTTAAAATAATAGTCTCAGAGGGGTGGCCATGGTAGTCTGCAACTTTAGAAACAAGGAGTGGTCCTGGGGCACAGGGGGTCTTGCCCATGGAAGCGCATGACCCTGCATACGGTTGTTAGTCTCTAAGGTGCCACAGGACTGCGTGTCTAACAGTGCAATCCCGTCATCGCGTCTGCTGGCAGGTTGCTGCAGGCAGACTCGCCGACTTGCAGCCGCTGGGACTCCACGACCGGGCGGTTGAGTCGATAGTTGCCCCGTCAGCAGGCAGGGTCCTGGGCTAGATGGACGTTGCTCTGACCTGCCTGGTAGGAGAAGCTGATGGTGATTTGTACTACAACTGGGTGTTATTAAAACAGTTTGTACATAGCCAGGTGCCCTGTGAGAGCAGCTGTTACAGGAGTCAGGCCTCCTGGGCCAGCAGGGCTGGCATTAGGCTCACTGGGTCCCAGGGCAGAAAGCAAACATGCCCCCTGTGAAGGGCTGAAGACTGGAACCCCACCCCCACGCATTGGGGCTGCAGCCAAAGCAGCGTAGCTTCGTAGGGCCCCCTATGGCACCAAGCCCTGGCCCCTGCCCCGCTGTCCTGGCGTTTACAAGCAGAGAACCAGCGTTGGGGCCGAGTTTTTACAGCCTGGGGATGGGCTCCCAAGGAAAGTGGTTGAGAGCCCCTGCTGCAAGATGCCTCTGTATCCTGCGGCGGGGCAGGGACCCTACCGCTGCAGGGCGGGCTGGGTTCCAGTCACATCTCCCCACAACACATACACTAGATGGGAGCTTCTCCTGTGTGATGAAGAAATGAAGTCCCCAGCAACGCCATTCAGACATGCCAGCCTCAGCGGTGCCTTCCAGCCCTATGCCCTGGGCCTGGCTTGTTTCTGCAATTCAGACAGGCTCTGCCCCCCGTGGCAGGCAGGCGGGCAGCTCCCTCTGGAAGTTAGAATTGAGAGGGGAAACCCTGACCAAGGACTCGCCCACAGGACACAGTGTGATGCCAGAGGTAACAGCTCTTACCCCGGGCGGCGGCAGCTGTTGCCAGCCAGACTCAGTGACAACTCAGACTGTCACCAGTGCCATGACAGTCAGTTAACACGTCGATGAGTGGGGAGGTCAACTTCCAAAGCCAAGCAATAAATCTGCCACATTGTCCCGAATGACAGGCTGTGTTTACAGTCCGATTCCCCGTGGACTGGAACGCTGACGACAACCCCTCCTCCCCTACCCACCCGGTTACTCCTGAAAGTGCTGGTGAGGCAGGAGCCGCGGGCAAGGTTTGCAAGAGAAGGAAGTGACCAGACAGAGTAACACTAGAGGGCACTGCTAGCATCTTCCAGAGCCCTGAGCAGGAATCTCTGCAGACAGCAGTGCAGTGGGCTCACCACCGCCTAGCAAGACCAAGGGCCCTGTCCTAGCTCAATGCTGACTCTGGGCAGGCCGCTAGGATCTCCATTCATTTATAGGTACAGTCTCCGTCAGCACTAAACAACTTACACATCCCCCACTGCTAGGGCCATCTCTGACAGCAGCAGCAAGAGTATCTCCCTTTATAGCTACCAGGCCCTGCTCTTCCCAGCCAGCTCATGCTCCCAGCTTATGTTAAAGGGCACCCTGCTCCTCCCCCTCAACAGACAGGGGAGGGGTGGGGGGATTCACCATTTGCTCCAGAGAGCTATCGGATAAGGACAGGAAACAAGCGATGCTCTCTACAGCCTGCTCCCTCGGATCGCAAAGTTCCTCCGTTTTGTTCGTTTGTTTAGTAGAGCAAGCTCCAGCTCCAGCTTCCCATAACGCTCAGCATTGCAAGTATCCGCCTCTACAGACGGGGCGGGGGAATGTGCCACAACAGCGACGTGTCACTCATGAAAGCTTATGTTCGAATACCCTAATCAACGTGTTAGTCTGAAGTGCCACCGGACTCCTTGCTTGTTTTTTAAAAGAGCTTTCTCATTAATACATGGTCCAGAGGGGCTCTACTCTGATGTCACCCACTGGGGCACCTGCAGCCCCACATGCAAAGCCTGATGCCAATTTCTAGCCCAAAAATGAAGTGTCAGTGCCTGTTATGAACCTTTGGTTACTCCCAGTGGGACAGAGGTAAACCTGGCAGGCAAGGTATGGATGCAATAAGGGAATTTCCTTTCCATACCTTTCATCTGAAGATTTGAAAGCACTTGCTGACAAGTCTCACAACAGGCTTGTGAATTACTACAGCAGCTTCCAGGTGACTGCACCGGAACACAGAGCAGCTAAGTGATTTGACCAGGGTCACACACGATTCCTTAGGAGGAGCGATATTATCTATGCAAAACTTCTTGTCTCAGCCAGTGGCACACAACGGTCTGCTCTCCTGAGGGCTGTCCCGCACTGGTTGAACTTTGATCATGGCATGTAGGAATTGGTGGTGCCCTGGGATATAGAGCTCAGTTAGGATCTGATGCTCTTCTGCCCTGAAACTCTCTGCCTAGTCTCGGGCTGCAGAATTTCCTTACATTAAGTCCTATTTGATTCCTACATTAAGTCCTATTTGAATTAGAGCAAATCTTTTAAAATCAAGATTGGTGGTCGAAGATTGTCAGTGACGGCGACTTCTCCATGACCCTTGGCCAATTGCACACATGGGGCATTAGGGTCCCTGTAAAAAATTTGCACATTTCCAGTCTGAATTTGTTCAGCTTCAACTTTCCCTGGCAGAGTGGGCTCTGCCTTGCTCTGCTCCACTGAAGAGCAGAGGATCAGATTTTGGTTCCACAGCACTTCCAGAGCATGATGAAGTGGCCCCTTCTCTCTTGCACATCAGGCGTGTTTTCCAATCCTTTTGGCACCCCTGCGGCTCCTCTCTGAACCAGCTCCTGTTATCAACTTTTTGGAACTGTGGGCACCAGCACTGGATGGTACTCCAGGAGCACTCGCGCATGGGCCGGATACAGAGGTAAAATAACCTGTTTTCTCCTTTGTCGCTCCAGCGGTCACACTGGGAGGATTATCCCCACCACCACCTTTCTAGCGACTGCTTCCATGTTGTCCCCTCCATACACTGTCACCCTTCCTGCTGCATCACCCGCACATTCTAGTGAACCCAGTGGAGATCGACACCCGTTCCCCCTCCCCCAGACACACACAGACACCACAGAGACACGCACGCCAGAACTCACTGGGGTGAAACATTTACATTTATATTGAAATATGCACTAAACAGAGTGAGTTCTATCAGTCAATGCAATTTTGCCAAAGCAGAATCACAGCTTTTCTTGGGGAAGGTTCAATCAGCTCCCAGCAGCTTCCCCGAAGGAAGGTCACCGGGAAGCAGGGCTGTAACTGGATTTTACACACTGTGCAAGCGTCCAGCCTCAAGGCCTCCCACCCTGCACTTGGAGCCCCCTTGCTTGCACTCGCATGCGAGTTCAGAGAAAAGGACTTTCGCCTTCCTCCCCCCTTTTCCTTTGCATTCTCTTCACTGCAATAAATATCAAATTGGCAATGCTCATACACCACAGCACAGACAAGATTCCAGGCTTCAGCATACAACTGTAAACGGTAACTAGATTATTTTAAAAAACTAGAAGTTCAGAAAGGATCAGTTCTTCACAACCAGCCAGGTACAAGGGAGGCAGCTAGTCAGGGGCTGCCTGGACAGGGGCTTGCGGGGCCTGACCCCCAGAGGTGGAGAGCACCCTGGAGTTGAAATTGCAAAGGCTCAGTGAGTCCGAGGAGCAAACCCGACTGTTGGTGCAATGAGAAAGATCCCGATGCCCGTGCCAAAGGATGGGTGGTTACACTGGTCACTTCCAGAAGGGCGGTGAACGCTGACCCGTGTGTAAACATGGCGCCCCAGCAAGACCACCTGGACCACGGGCAGCCAACTGAGCTGGTTCCCCTCTGCCCAGAGGGCTTGTCCACACGCCAGGACCACCCCTCCGCAATCAGCCCCTCATCAAAGGGCCCAGCTCACAGCTGGTCTCAGCAGCAAACGCGCTGCAGCGCTGAGGGCTACGTTGCTAGTAAGCGGCTGTCTGACCAGCGCGGGGCCGCCCTGGAGACTCATTTAGTGCGTGGGTCACACGTCACTTTTCACAAGCCTACAGCCCTCCGCCTGGCAGAGTCCTGTTGCCCCTCCCACTCTTCCTACAGGCATGCCCATGCCACCCTGCCCAATCTTCCCCCTTCCCTCCTTGGGGCAAAGTCTGTTCACCCTCCCTTCCCAGCCCCAGCAGAGCAAAGAGCTGTTTTGACAGACGATTGGAGGGGAGGGGAGGGTGCTGCTGAAAAATGGAGCACCCACTGGCCTAGGGAGAGCCCACCCGGCTACTCTTCTCCCGCAGAGCACTATCCGACTCCAACCTTTACTTCTGGGAAGCAGGATTCTTTGGCTGTCCTGCACATCTGCGTGCATCACTTGTGCGGGAGGTACACACAGGCCCCGCATGCAGTCTAGGCAGAAATCCCGCCACAACCAATGTTATAGCAGCAGGGAAGCATGATGGGGACAAGAACGTGCTCTTTAATGCTAGATTTAAGCTTGCCTGAAACAGAATGGGCCAAGACAGGCGACATGCCCTACATGCATGCTACTTCTCATAGTGAGCTGGAAAAACCAAAGTAGGCAGCTAAATGCCACCAATGTAAAATAGGAGATCACTGTAAACCTCTGAAACAAAAATCAGTTCCTCTTTCATTTACCTGCCAAAAAGCAGCATAACAGTTGAAGGCTGGTGCCTTCCCAAACCCTTCAACCAGGGCAGAGGCCTGCATTGGTTGTGGTATTTCAGTGAGCGGTGGTATGAGCCATGACAAGGGATAACACCACTGCTGAACTCCAATTATGGTAGGTAAGTCAAGGAAGAACAAACTTTGTTTAATGTATTTTTATTTTTAAAGTAGCAAGGTTCTGCACTGGGTCCCAAACAGTTTCTTATTGATAAGAAAAAAGCTTTCCCTGTTCACCTTTCAATGAATGAGTTTTATACAGCCATTAGGCAGATTATAATTAGCTCTCATATAAAAAGCTCTAGCAAGACAGAGTCCCTGTGAACAGGCAACTCTCCACACTAATTCCCTTTGTTGGAAGGGGAAAGGGTAGGGCCCGAAAGAGGAAAAGGCTACAGACTGACTCAATTCTTTACTGCCAAAGGCCTTATTTGCTTGAATAAAATGTTTGTACAAGTAAGTAAAACAGAAGCAATAAAGAAATATACACCTTAGAACTCGTAAAGCATTAGATTGGTTCAGGCTTCACAAAGAGGGACTAAGTATGGATTTTTTTTTTAAAAAATAGGTGTAACAGTCATACTTAAAAAAAAATCAGAACTATGAACGTGAACAGCACTGCACAGAATCCTGAAGCACAGCCCCCACAATGGGATGAAATGTCAGTTCTACGTCTCTGACTGACTTGTGTTTGACATTCGCTGGAAAACTAAGCTCCTAAACCAAAAAACTGTTAAAAGCTGTCAATACTGTACACAAACAAAACCAAAGAACAGGTTCTATAGGAGACATGATATGCAACAGCACCCAAATGAAACTGCCCACAGCCAAGCAACAACGCAATGAGGTTTGTCACAGCTAACAGACTTCGTAAAACAATCACATGAATAATATTTTGGGAGTGTTAAATGAGTTCAGCTCAACTAACACTTTGGTTTTTGACATTTCTGAATTCCAGTTATTTAGTTTCATGCTGCTTCAAAAACAGAGTGCCAGAAAGCAACAAGTGTCTCTTAAAAAAACCTTAGTAAATAAAATTTCTAACGGTGGGAACTTTTTTTTTTTTTTAAAATGCACCTGTTTTGTTTCTCTTGAGTGGAATGCAAGTCTGGTTCACAAGCTAATACATGAAGCCTAATGCCTAGGAAAGAGGCAAGCTAAACCAAGAGCTGCATACGGGTTGCTCGAGTCAGCATGACAGGGTGGGTCTAAGGGCACCATAGAACACTAACGTACGCGAGGGGCACACAGGTGATAGTCTTGTTCTCATTTGAAATGAGGAATGGTTTACAAGTAAAAATCTTCTTTAGCTAATTTCTTCCTGCAGTGACACCAGTCAGCTCTGCCCTTCTGTGGACAAGACCAGTTCGACGTTAGCCCTCCCCCTCAAAACACTAGATACGAACATCCAGTAACATTCTACAATGGAAAGTGCTTTAAGAAAGAAGGATTCTGTAGTGCCAGTGACAGAACTGATCTGATGAGGCTGGGATGACGTTGAACACTGATTTTAGCTTATCAGGCCAGAGCAGCTTGCTTCTCCTCAGGGGTCTCCTCCAGCAGCTGCATGATCAGTTCATGGAGGGGTTTGCAGATCTTTGCATAGCCCCCTCCTGTCAGGTGCAGAAAATCAAACATGTCATGGCAGGAGATGGCACCATCCGAATGCACGAAGCCCCCGCTGACATCCAGGAGCTGGACACTGGCAAGTTTTGGGAGCGAGACCTTTAGCAGCTGGTTCACCTTGGCATTCTTCTGCCGCAGAGGGTTTGGCTTCTCGCCTCGAGGTAGCAAGCTCTGATATAGTAAGGAGGCAAGAAAAGACCTCTGAAGTGGTTCAGACAATACAGTACTTCACTGGGTGCGTCTATAATGCACCCGTAGCTCAAAAAGAGCTATGCAAATTGTGTCGCTTATTTTGAGTCAATCTCAAAATAGCTTATTCCATCATTTGGCGCTGTTGACAGAACAGATTTCGAAATAAATCTCTACTCCGAAACGTCCATTACTCCTCATGGAATGAAGTTTACAGGGACGTCGGAATAGCAAGTCTGTTATATTTCGAAATAACGGGTGCGCTCAAGAGACGCAGAATAGCTATATTGGGTTACCTCCGGTATCCCGAAATAGCACTGCAGTGGAAACGTAACACTCCTCCCCCTGTACATCTGCCTCAGCCCCTTCTAGCCCCTCTGTGAAACGGGGCTGACAATAGAGTTGGAAGGACACTGACTCAGGGGCTGAACCTGCTCCTCCTTCCCCCCGTGCTCCTTTGTTTGGCTTTAGCATTCCTATTTATGCTCCCCTCTGCACAAACAGGAATGCTGAAGCCAATCAAAGGAGACAACCTTTGTCTGCCTCTGCGGAAGAGCAGTGGGCCAGTTTAAGCTGTTCCCACACAGGACCAGAATGGGTAATGCTCCAGTCTAGTCCCAGCTCTCTCCCCATCATCCTCAGCCCGTGTGATGTCACTGCCTCCCTGTCTCTGACTGGGACACAACTCCTCTCACGAGAAGAGAACGCTTACCTCTCGGAAGGGGCTGGAAAGCTAGATACCGTTGAGAAAGCTCACTGAAATGGAGAAGCCATCCTCTAGAGTTTACCATCAAGTTAGCATTCTCCCCCCAACATGCACAGGAAACTCCTGACAGCATTGGAGCGTGGTATAAAGGACACATGACACAGGCTGCTCCAATGGTGCTGTATTACCACAACCCTCTGATGCGCATACCAATACAATAACTTTGGCCTGTGGCTGCTGGGTATTTATGAGCCGCACGATGGCCTCGATTCCACCTGCTACTTCCTCTGCCGTATTTTCATGGTTGTTTGTTCCAACCCAGACAACAATGACCTGTGAAGAGGAAACAGGAATGGTGTAGCAGCAAGTTTAGCACCCACAGGAGGCTCTGCACCAGCTATCCTGGCTACTGCAACAAGGTCAATAACTCAGGCCAAGGTGCTCAGCAAAAATTAAGACTCAATAATTGCAAATTAAGCTTAAATAGTGAAAGACACAGACTGTCAGCTTTTGCGGATTCTTGAATCATTTCGAATCAACTTAAGACTCCTCCCTCTCACCTAGTATAGAACCAGAGTCACAGTAAAGAAAAGCCACCCTGATCAGCCCACTAACAGCTTTGTGATACTTCAACACAGTGTAATTCAGACGTCTAGATGATCTTGTATCTGGCCCAGGCTTACAACATACTGGGTGTGCATGATGCAGCCAGTAAGCTCCACATGTGAAGGGCCTTATTCGTTCGTAAAGCACCCAGATGAAACCCTTTTACAGAGCTTCTTTACTTTTAAATCTTAAAACTTATGCTAGGGTCATTCGCACAGCACCCCACACGACACCAACACTGCACGTCATTTAGAACATGTTCGGAGCTGTGTGAAACCTCATTGCAGCCTGAGTTAAAACCTCACTGAGATAGATAGGAATGAACGCACTCTTCAGTTACCGTTACTGTAAAAATTAGACAACCTGAAGCAACAACTAACTGCACAAAGAAATTTAGGGAGAGGTTTTTGGGTCGGGGTATTGGATGTAGAGAGTGTTGTTGATGCTGTGAGCAAAAGAAGCTGCTTCTTGCTATTTGATTCCTTCTCTGTTCAGAGACTCAGGACTTTGTACATTCCTTGTAAATAAACAAGGCTGCAGCAAAGCGCCTCCTGACAGTTATCAATTTCTCTTCCTATCTGGAATCGCCCTAGGGCCCCAATTATCTGCTCAGATTAAAAAGGACAAGAAAGGAAAAACAATTCTATACACAATTTAGGGAGTCAACCCTCGTATGCAGAATGTTATACTCTTTGCAACGTATGTCAACTTTCCCTTCACAGAGCTCTGCTAGCATACTTCCTAATAATAATAGTGCCTGTTTCTCACATGGTACCTTCCCTCAGTAGATCTCCAACCACTTCTCTGTCTTTGACATATGTAGCCTTACAACACCCCTGTGCAATAGAGCAGTGGTTCCCAGCCACTGCATCTGCAGACTGGTGCCGGGCTGCAGCACAATGCCAGGCCATGCCCATGCCTTGATGATGGGCCTGGCGAGAATGTCCTTGTTTAGATAATGATCGTGCTATCAGCTGTTTAAACTGGACAGCGGCACGTGATGGAGGACTTAAAACTTCGTTGAATGCATCCTCACCTGTCGCCCTTCTGGATTAAAATAAAAGGGGGACTCTCCAGAACTCAGCACTCTAGCTCTGAAGAGCCTGCTGCTATTTCCATCAACATACCTTTGTGAAGCGGATTTCTCTGCAGTGACTGCTGCCAGGACCAGACATCGGAATAGGTTTGACGAGAGGAATACACTGAGACTCTTGCTGCCAGGCATAATGCCTCGATAGAACTTGTGTCAGGCAAACAAGCCCAGTGATCCCTCTGATGTGATCTTGTCAGACATTTTCATGTTACGTAGGTAGTCTAGCTAGCCAGACCTTATGGACGATTGCTAACTGTGGTGTGATAAAATACTTTGGGTAGCTAGCAATGTGTTATGCATGATTTTTTTTTTAACGTGGAAAGCAAATACTTTGGGGGCCAGGGGGGATAATACAAAAATTCATTACAATGACATGTATTGTGTGTGTATAGATGCAATGTAAAATAACATGCGACCTCTTGAAATGAATTGCCATAATGAATATGCAAATAAAATGTTTTTATACCAGTCTGCCAAAAGTTTTTGAATGAGTTTGCTGGTCCATGGTATAATAAAGGTTGGGAACCGCTGCAATAGAGAAACATTTTAGCCCCATTTTGAAGATGGGGAATTGAGGTACAGAGAGACTAAGCGACTTGCCCAACGTCACAGAGGGTTTATGGTGCAGCAAGGAACTGAACCTGGGTCTCCCACAGTGCTCTGATCACAGGACCATTCTTCCACCTGACTAGCCCTCCTTACTCAATCCTGATCTGCATAATGTCCTGCTATTGCAAACTCAGAAAGCTTTTGACTGGAGACCATTATCTACAGCAGCCCACAGCAAAGTTCTCACTAGGGACTACAATGCCATCAACAAATCGGTTTATTTTCAATGTGTCCAATTTGCTACTTCACTTCCAGAGGTACAAGCGGACTGTATAAACACAATGGACCCTTCATTCCCCACAGAACCCACTTTAAATACCCCCTGCTTAGCTGGCTTAAACCTGTGTTGGTCCATTACACATATTCAGTGCCAACATTCACTCAGACCAGTATCTCCTGTTGTAAAGGAGTTCTAAAAAAGAACCCAAGAGTTCATTAGTTAGAGAGGGATGGCATTTTGGTGCCTTCAGCTCTGGTACTAAGCAATGTTCAGAGGGTTTTTTCTCAAGTGAAGAATGAACATAAAAGCCAGCTATGTGAGCACTTATACCTTCGGTTTAATGTTCTCCAGTTCACCGTTCTTCAGTCTCCAGAGAACATGCGCTGTTGTGTCCCCACCAATCCCGAAATTCAACGCATGAAGGGGTGAAAAGAGCTCTCGCCATATCTGTAACCAGGAACCAATTCACTGTTTTAGATTAAGCATTATCCTTCAACATAAAAAGTTTCTCATAAATAGGTAGCTCAGGGAATGACACAGTCAAAGTGAGTGAAGCTATTTTCAAGGGGAAAAGTGCTGCCCACAAAAGCATTACATATTCTCTATCAGAATTGGCAGAAGTAATGGACTTACTCCTGGCACAGAGAAAAGAGGGGATCATACACAGCAATCTCCCTTCAGCCTATGCAAGAGCTCAGCTAAGCACGGGACTTAACAGGAGGGCAAGGAAATGTTGAAGGAATTCCTTTTATTGCCCAAGAAGCTAAACAACTGTAACCAAATGTGTCACTCTGGAACGTAACACTGGCAGAGCAAAGCGGTTTGCCAGCCATTACCGATGAAATAGTGGATGAAGGGACAACTCTGAAAACACTTCACACATTTTTTAAAAAATATCTCCTAGCTGCTGCCTTTCCAAGTCTCTAGACACTGGGATTGTCAATAGAATGACGCTCTGCCGGCAGCAGCACAGCATGCTGGAACTCCATATGCAAGAGAGTTAAACTGTAATTCTCTGGTTAAGGTAATAGACCCAGCAACTTTCATATTTGTACTGTTGTGAGATAAGGAAACCTCATTATTAAGAACCAGGTGATAGCCAGTCACATTGGAAGCGGGATGGGCACAATCAAGAACACAGAGGATGTGGGGAGAAGAGAGGACAGAATTCATTTTAAATCTACAAAAGGGCTCTCACAGCTCCTAGACAGAGGGACAAGGAAAGAGGGGCAGAAGAGGGATCTGGACTGTTACACTGAGAAGGCTGCAAGTGACCTCTGGGAAAGGAGGGGTGGGGTAGAGGTTGGAAGTTACTGCAGGGACGGAACTGGAGAAGTTGAGGACAGACACAGGGAAATGGAAGGGATGAAGAGTTGGAAAGCAGTGGCAGTGGAGGTAAAATCAGAAAGAGCTGGAGGAAAGGGAGGCACGGTCAGTACTGTGCATGTTCACCAGTGACTGGACTAACAGCAACAGGGAGGTACCATCGCACACATCTCCCCCACAATTTCATCCCCTCCTGCGATACCTCATACTGCTGTAGCAACTGCACCATGGAATCCCCCACAAACAGCACGTCGGGCTCCTTGTCCTTGCAGTCCAAGACAAACCTGTTGTGCTGTTGAAAAGAAAGCAGCAGCATAAGTTCCAGCTGTCAGTTCCCCGGTGGTATCTGTAGCCCCGGCACAGAAAGTGATAGTTGCCCAACATGTGCCTCTACGGCCAAACTTTGTGACTTTCTGTTGTGTCTGCCTCTCAGGCATATAGCTTTAGATTAACTCCTTAAATGCTGGGCCTTCCTCCCTGCCTGCTCCTTCCTTGGCACACTGGCCACTCCTGAAGTGACCCATCAGGCTACATTACTTTTTTATACATGCACAGGCTACGTCTAGACTGGCATGATTTTCCACAAATGCTTTTAACAGAAAAGTTTTTCCGTTAAAAGCATTTGCAGAAAAGAGCGTCTAGATTGGCACGGACACTTTTGTGCAAAAGCACTTTTTGCGGAAAAGCGTCCGTGCCAATCTAGATGCGGTTTTGCACAAGAAAGCCCCGATCGCCATTTTTGCCATCGAGGCTTTTTTGCGCAAACAGTTTTTAGCTGTCTACACTGGCCCTCTTGCGCAAATACATTTTCCCCCGAACAGGAGCAGCATAGTATTTGCGCAAGAACACTGACAATCTTACATGAGATCGTCAGTGTTCTTGCGGAAATTCAAGCGGACAGTGTAGACAGCTGGCAAGTTTTTTCCGCAAAAGCAGCTGATTTTGCGGAAAAACTTGCCAGTCTAGAAGCAGCCACAGAGTGCTTGCTGTCAGATGCCTGGTAGCGATATACCCAGCAGTTCTAAATCTACTGACATTCAGGTTATTGGTTAGCCAGAATACAAGTCTGCTCAAACTACTTCACCCTGTCTAGGAAGTGATATGAACTGGAGACTCGAGACACTTGGGTTCAGCTAGTCTCAGCTTTATCACTGCCCAGCTGTATTACATACTTCAGTGAGGTTCATTTTTTTTTTTTAAATAATCTGGTTGGCAATTCCTCTCAACCAATAAGCCAGCTGAAATCTTCTGGAACTCTGTTCCAAAGTGTGGTTTTCAGGGCATGCCACAAAGCTGCTTTTTACCTCTTGTGGTGTCAGGTTACTTCTGGAACCCATCAGAAACGCTGCTAACGTCTAAGTGGCTGAGCTCCCCCAGCCACAGAATCAGAAACAGAAGTACCTGTATTATGCTCATCATGCACCTGACCACCTCAAAACCTGCTAGTAAAGAGGCTCCTATCTAATCCGTCAACTCTGTTATCAGTTTTACCTGTGACATCCACCTGTCATCTCCTTGAATATCTTCAGCTGCATGTGGAACTGCTGCTGGGTTTGAGTCTCCCTGGCTCATTCTATTCCTGTAGAAAGAACATTCAATACGTGTTAGACCAGTATTTCTCAACCTTTTTTTAAATAAAGTAACCCTTTGAAGAAAATATTATAAGTGCCCCTAGTACTTATAGTTTTCAAACACACCAGACTTTTTTTCTACCATTGCAACACATTTGTTCAAACAACTTAATCGTAGCCAGCCAGGTGATGACATTTTTGGGTGTAAAAAGTCCAAAAATAATAAAGCGCTGTAAAACTTAAAACAAAAATTCAAATCCAAATTCCGCTGTGCTGACGTACCCCCCCAGACCTCTCTCAAGTACCCCTAAGGGTACTCGTACCACTGGTTGAGAAACACTGCCTTAGACTATACACTGAGGATCAAAAATCAAGCTCTGACTCAAGAGGCCCAAGCTGGTGCCACACACTAGCACAAGGAATCAAGACCAGCAGTGGCGTGGCTTGCAAGAACTACATTTTCAGACATTGGTAGGTAATAATCATTTGCATTTGTTTTGCTGAAAGCTAATATGCCGGCCAGACTCACATGAGCAAGTTTTATTCCATGCAGGAATCCCAAATTATCCCTCTAGCATGGCCTCATGGAAACCATTCTACTGACTTGTGATCAGTGACATCCAGACAGGCGAGAACAACTTTTAATAATAATAGCAAGTGCCTTTTAATGCAATCTCTGCAGGAGCACCTAGCACACATGCTAATTATCACAGGATTTGCCACTACATGTATAAAACTCAGCTAGCAGCTGCATAGACACATTTCAGATGGGTCAACTGATTTCAAAAGACAGCGTACCCTAGCTCCATTGGCTGAAGAGGGTCTCAGCCGAAAACATTAGAATTAAAACATGGGGCTGGCACCTCCAAAGTGTCTTTAGCTGCATTTCTGTGTAATAAGACAAAAAACTTTTTTTCTGAAGCCAGTGGGGTAGCCTAGTAGAGAATACCATTAGCCACCACACAGGAGACAGACATAAATGTAACTTAGAAAGAAAAGAATGGAGCAGAGATATGCGGCGATGAAAGAGTTAGGTAAAAGCCTAGGAACCCTCATTCTGATAAAACTAGTTTTAAGTTAGATGCAGGATGTAGAGATAGCAGGTGGTCCCTTTTGGCACATGCCAGTAGGGCAAGGGAATACACATATCCAACGCCCACGGACCGTAAGTCACAAAAGTACATTTTACAAAAGTTGCTCTAAAGTATTTTCATATTTAACCCTAGACACAAATGCTTCCCTCTGAGTGACACACAGAGAATAATACTCTTCCCTCAGCTTGCAATTTTTCTTCAAGTCTTTTTAGACAAAATATCATTAGTGACAGTTAGTTTATATTAACTTACTCCTGAATCTTGCATTCTCTCTCACTTTGTGCGGTATTTGTGCATGCATACATATTAGGGATATGAACTTTTAATCAGTTTACTGGTTAAGTTTAACCAGTGTGGGCTGGAGCAGCCCCCTGTCCGCCACCAGCAGAAGGCTGCTCCAGCCCTGTGGTGGGCCTGGGTGCCTCACAGCACGGAGGGTGGGGAGAGAGAGGAGGGGAGCAGGCAAAAGCCGGGGCTTGCAGGGAGCCAGCTCTTAAGCAGGGTCCTCACAAGCACTGGCTCCTGGGGAACTGCCTCCCCCCCGACTCCACACCCATGCTGCTACCTGACCCAGAGGAAGCAGCACAGGGTCGGGGGAGGAGAGAAAAGAGGTTGGTGGGAGCTGGTGCTCACGGGAAGCCAGATTAAAAGCCAGCTCCCCGCATGTAACAGCTTCCAAAGAGCCACATCCCCTGTTCCCCTGCGCTGCTGCCTCTGCATCAGAGGCAGCAGTGCTGGGGGGAGGGAAGGGTAGGCAGGAGCTGGTGTTTGCAGGGCAGGTAGGTGGCTCTGTGGGAGTCAATACTCTTCCCCTCTTCGCTGCTGCCTCTGATACAAGGCAGCAGCATGAGAGGGAGGAGCACAGCTCCCTGTGCACACCAGGTCCTGAAGAGCCACCTCCCCAATTTCAGTGGGTATACATTTTTTTGTTTTGTTTGTTTTTGATAAAACAGACAAACAAAAAAACACCCAACACATTTTCAGATCCCTAGTGCCAAACACACACTGGCTGCGTCTAGACTGGCAAGATTTTGCACAAAAGCAGCTGCTTTTGTGCAAAATCTTGCCAGTCTAGACGCAGCCAGTGTGTGTTTGGCACTAGGGATCTGAAAATGTGTTGGGTGTTTTTTTGTTTGTCTGTTTTATCAAAAACAAACAAAACAAAAAAATGTATACCCACTGAAATTGGGGAGGTGGCTCTTCAGGACCTGGTGTGCACAGGGAGCTGTGCTCCTCCCTCTCATGCTGCTGCCTTGTATCAGAGGCAGCAGCGAAGAGGGGAAGAGTATTGACTCCCACAGAGCCACCTACCTGCCCTGCAAACACCAGCTCCTGCCTACCCTTCCCTCCCCCCAGCACTGCTGCCTCTGTGTATTAGTTTCACTGCTACACATCTACACAACGAGCTCCAAGGCAAGTAACTGGCGGGATCACACAGTGCTCCCACAAAGCAAACCATTTCTGGCACAAAAAGTGACTGACTATATTTATTCTAACCTTTTTTGCCACAAGTGACTCTTGCTAAGGGATAAGCGATACCGCCTTCCATACACGTTCACCCCTGTAAAAACTCAAAAAACAACAAATAGTCCAGCAGCACCTTAAAGACTAACAAAACATGTAAAGTAAAACTCCAGTTGTCCGGCATCCAGTGGTCTGGCACTCCTGATAGTCCGGCACCACCTGGAACTCGGAAGTGCTCCAGACAGCCGGACAATTGGAGCTGCTCTGCCCCGGGCTTCCCCAAGTCAGCCGCTGGTCAGTTTTCAGCAGTGGCTGACTTGGGGACGCCTGGGGCACAGCAGCTGGGGTGCTGCTGGGTTGGAACCGCAGGGCCATCCCATCCCATCCCATCCCATCCCATCCCATCCCAGACCTCTCTCAGCCCCCCCCCCCCCCCCCCCCCCGCCACTCACTGCCTGGGTCCTAACGGTGCCACATTATTGGAAGTTTACTGTAGATAGTATCGTGACTTTTTATGGGCACAGCCCATTTCTTCATCTGGAGTTATTAAAGTTTTAAAATAAATTGGGAATGGGGAAGAAAAGGAAAAAAAAGGTGGTGGGAGAAAGAAATAGTCAATTAGAACAGATCATCCCTATGTTTAAGAGCAGAACATAGCCTAGCACTGGAAGGAGAATGTGTCAAAACTAGGCCTACACAACTGATGCCCTCTTCACAACAGGAAGTGCTAATATTAGTGGCTGACAACCACAGATAAAGGGATTGTTATGGAGACAAAGGGCTTGATGCACAATAGCACTTACTCTTTTTGGTGAAAACAGTTTCAAGTTTCCCCAAAGCTTTCTGGGTCAATACTGCCCTAGAGTGCATGAAGTGAACGGTCTGTGGCACACAAGATAAGCTGGCCAGAGCAGAGCAGATGATAGCTCCATTCAACCTTGTGTTACAATTGCCAATAGCTTATGCTTCAGAGAAAGGAGAAAACTCAATTCACTAATCAAAGAATACATGAATTTTTATAGTGGTTCAGATCTGTGGTGAGCCCATCCAGTCCAATATCATACTTCTGGCGGTAGTGAGCAACAGATGAAGGCCAAGAACTCCACAACAGACTGTGAGATAATCAGACTGTGAAATCACTCCCCAATCCCCAATAGATTTTATATTCCTTTCAACACCTTTTTGGGGACAGCATAGTCTATTAGAGCCAATATTCTTATTAGGTATTCATACACACATCCAATTCCTATTCCGTACAGCATAGTACAGCAAAAGGGGCCTAAGTCTCATAGATGAGATCTCAAGCTACAGCTGTGGACATGAAATTAACCAGCCCTTTAAAAACCCAGTTACATAATTTGATCTAATAATCTACATTCACTTAAAAGTCTCATAGGGGTAGCCATCTTAGGCTGTGTCCAGACTCCATGCCTCCGTCGACAGAGGCATGTAGATTAGCCAGATC